ATTCTACAGCCATATGGCAAGCGTAGCATGTAGTCTCCTGTTTCCTTCCCGCAGAGTGGTACTCATTTATCAGCCTCAGAAGAAAGAAAAGCGAATGAACCCATTCACTGCTTGAACCTGATATTTCTCGGTTCTAAGTCCGACATTCTACTAGCAACCCTGGTCTAGAGGAACGCCCCGCAAATTCATTGCTCAAGAGAATTCTTGGTTAAGGCAACGATTGCCCTCCGCGGGAGTCAAACCCGGCATCTCCAGAGTTCGAAGGCAGATTTTACTTTTCATTATCTTGAGTAAGAGTCTTCTTCATACCGTTCGACTGTCTGCACCTCACTGGACTGTTTTCTGACCATCCGTTGGACAGAACGGAATTGCTTGATGCCACATTTATTAAATTTCGATGCAAACGATAACGGTCACAGTGGAATATTGTTTAGTTATTCACTTTTAACAACGGAGAGTTAAGAGTTTACGTGAATTAAAAATATGTTGCATTACGGTAGAAAATGAATGGGCTTTCTTTTTATTTTCGTTTCTTTGTGGCTTAGCTATTTGTGATGATTCCAGCTGCAGTTGCAGTGGCTATCTCCTGAAAGCAGTTGTAGTTTAGTCTGAGTTATCATCAGTTCGATGCAGTCAAAGCAATCAATCCTTTCTGATGATGAAACAACTGACTTATTTTATTGATTAGGTTGTTATCAATTCGTTCATTATTTAAATTGATTAATGGTTCTTTTGCTGAGTGTTTGAACTTTGTTATTTTAGTAGTACTTCTAGAGTTCAAGGTAAAGAACGACAGATGCAAATCTATTCCTTTTTCTTAACTTTCAGCAGTGTGTGATCAAAGCCTGCAATTTTTTCATATTTATTCTGTTTTCATAGGCTGTTGCTCGCTCTTCAGTAGTCCCATTTCATCGTCAGCTTTATGGGCTTGATTCTGTGATGCGACACTGTCATGGTATTGAATATATACAGATCATCTGGTCTTCGATTTGCCCCTCAAACGCCTGCAACTTGGCTTTCTAAATGGGGTCTTTCCTCTGACACGCTAATTGCGTGTCGAAATTCGCTACTGAAATCTCTTGATTTGAAGAATAAGCGATTGAATAAGCGGATTCTGCTGTCTCCTGAAGTTTGCTGAATCTTGTCATATCTGCAATGCAGAGAAGAAACCTAACCTAATGGCATTCCATTACGGATCTTCCTTCCGTATGGCATTCTTCTGTCTATATCCAGCGCTCATGGCAACAGGTTTGGGTAGCTGTGTAAGTAGACATGATAATAGATAACCTTGCATTCCTGCTTATCTCTTGCTTAATCGCCATGAACTAGTTAGGTTGGCCGTCTCTAGACTCTCTTAACTGATTTGTTTCTCTAATTCTATCCACTCTTGAATGGCACCTCGACCTAAAATGTCATTTTTGTTTCTCCACTTGGGTCAGTTTCACTCCACAAAACTGTAAAGCACACTTATCTTATTATTATAACACATTTATCTGTAACAATAGACTTACCTTGACAGCAGTGCCATTTCCAGTAGCCGGTGCTCAACGTCCTTTCGTATTCAAATGGCTGGTAGGAAATATTAGATTTTTCATTGACCTGTTTGGCCGAAGAATGAGTCTCCAGATCTTAGAAAAAAAATGCAGGACAGCACAGCGCTATTCAGCTTTGAGAAAATCTGCTGTTACATGAGAGAGAATGGAGTAGACGACAGTACTTGTTACAGAAAGGCATATGGTTTCGATGAGGAAGTTCACTAATATCCTTCCCGACGCTTTCTCTACACACCTGCTAAAATTATTGGGGTATCTTGGTTTCTTACTCGTTCTCGTGGTAGTTGTCTCGATATTATGAAAGGTCCCATTCGTCATTGTTGCACTGTGCATAATGGGAGTGCTCTCGGCAGTAATCACTGCATATGACCGTCCGCTAAAAGATTGATTCCTGCTTTCAATCGTCACACTACGGATAAAGATCTCTCATTGAAGTGATCAGATAGTTTCTGCGTCATTGATGAAAACGTGATTAGTTTGAAATCGGCGTTATTTGTTTAAACTGTACGCACCGCTTTACGCTAGAGTACAACCTTTGACACGCTACTCGTCTAAAATTTACTCATGATAAACTAGTCAAAATAATCAGAAAAAATGTGCAGCTAAATCTTTATCAAATGGAAATTATAGATATTCGCCTAGGCACAACTGTCACGAAGAATTGCTAATGATATTGAAGATTTATTGTTCCAGTGTAACTTCACGAGGGACCTATGCTAAATGTAGCAGTTTTATTTAAGGAATAGAAATCTGCGGCCATAGTATGTGCTAAAACACGTAGCTTGGTACATTGTGATAATGTAAATACGGCAAACAAGATGCGAGAAAATAGAACATGCTTCAACACGGCAGTCTCTACCGTGACTGTGTTGGAATACATCATAAAAGCTAGTCCATCTTGTGCAGTGCAGAATCACTGGGTGGGGGTATGTTTGGAGAGGTGCCTTTTTCACAACTGTCGTATCAGAACAAACACGTAGTACA